ACCCTTGGTATTTGGGGTCAGCATCCTACCCACTGAGCCACAGGTGCCGCCCAGGAAGCTGCTTTTCTAGCAGCAATCTCCAAAAAAAAAAAAAATGGCCTGGTGGGCACCACCAGCCTCCTGAAATGCTTCTGCAAGGGGCCAAAATAGGAAATCCATGTCCAACACCAGTCCCTGTGGCAGTGAGCGCCCTGGCTCTAGGCCTCGGTAGGATTACTAACAGAGGGTGGGGTGGTGGCTGAGCACACTAAGGCCTTGCTCAAGCAGGCCAGGCTCTGCACAGGCTTTATGGGGAAAGTGGCTGACCAGGCAGAAGTCAGCTCTGCAGGCCTCTGTCTGGGACATCAGATGTAATCATGGCCTGGAGGAGTATTAATGCCACATTGTGTTGGTCATCTTTTATGCTCCATTTCACAGCCTGTCAGCCCAGTGTAATCTCTCAGTGCCTCATCCAGCTTTCTTCCCTGGGCTTCTCTGCCAAGCAAAGCTGCTCATGCCATTCTGGGGCATTCGCAAACCCACAGCTGCAAGGACTTAATATCCTACAGGGCAGTTACAGCTTCTATTACAGCTAATAGAAGGCTGGGCAGACAAATTCTCCCTACAGCCCTCAGGCTCATTCCACAGGTTCCTCAGAGGGTCCCGGTGACAGTGAGCCAGTTGCTCACAGTGTGACAGCTCAGTGACACACCCTTTGTTCTGCTGAGCCGCCTTCCCAGTTCCGTTCTTTTCAGTCCTATCCCAGGATCACTTCCTAAATGGGTGCACCTGTGCACACACCCCTTTCTGTTCTCTGCTTTTGGGGAGAACTTGGGTGGGCCAAGACACAAGTTCACTTTCTCAGATACGAACACAATCCCATTGTGTTAAACTCAGGTGTACTCACAGCATCTTACATGTGTACGGCTCTCTGTAGTTTGCAAAGTCTTAATTCCAGTTGCTATAGCTGTGTAACCAGTTGTCCCCGTAACACAGTGGTGCCAAACAGCCCTTCATTGTGCTCGGAGATTCTGGGTGTCAGTAACTCTGAGAGGTCCCAGAGGAGACAGGCTGGTCTATCTCTGATGTCTGGAGCCCTCAGCAGGAACGGTGATGCTGGCTGCCAGCCCAGGGCTCCCACCACTCCAGGGGTACTTCCTCACACCGTGGTGGCCCAGCTGTGCCTCCTTTCATAATGCAGCCTCTGAAGTCACACGGCATCACTGCTACTCACCGAGGCAAGCACAAAGTCCTGCCTAAGGTTCGAGGTACAGGGCCCTTTTGGAAAAATACAATCCACCATGGTTCTCTCCCATATTGCCTCTTTTGAGTCTCACAAAAGAGACTATCTTGTCTTTGAATCCACAGTGCTTAGGGCGATGCCTGGCACACAGCAGCTGTGCATATAGCACGTCTGGTTTCATCACTTACTACTCATAGGATCCTGGAGATGTTATTTAGTTTCTCTGAGCTTGGGTTTCCCGACCTTTAAAATTAGGGCAAAAAATGTTAGTTTTACAGAGCCAGTGGTAGAATTGGGTGCAATAGCATAGGTAATGTGGCCAGCAGACTCCTGAGCCCAGGTAGGGCTCAGTCTCTTCATTTGTTCCCCTTCTACTCCATGCCACCTCCTACCTCCTGGGCTGATGGCACCACGGGCTTCCCAGCAGGTGCATGGACTCAGGAAACAGAAAGCATTTAGGCACGAAGCCAGGGTTTTCTACAGACTTGTTCAGAGGAAGTCTGGATGAGCAGCCAAGGTGCTGTCTGGCTTCCCTGTCCCTGGACACATCCTACCTGGCCGAGAACTGAGAGTGTGACCCACCTCCCCTCATGGAATTCTCCCTTGTACAGCCTCTGAGTCTCAGGTGGGCCAGTGTAGTGGGGGGCTCACATCTATATTCCTAGCACTCTGGGAGGCTGAGGCAGGAGGATCACTTGAGCTCAGGAATTTAAGACCTGACTGAGCAAGAGTGAGACCTTGTCTCTACTGAAAATAGAAAAAATCATCTGGGTGTTGTAGTGGGCACCTGTGGTCCCAGTTACTCAGGTATCTGAGCCAGGAGGATCGC